AAGCATCCACTGACTTTACTTTGGCATTCAAAGCATTCCACTGACTTTTACTTTGGCATTCAAAGTGTCAACTGACTTTTACTTTGGCATCAAAGTGTCCTCTGACTTTTACTTTGGCATTCAAAGTGTCCACTGACTTTTACTTTGGGGGCATTCAAAGCATTCCTCTGACTTTTACTTTGGCATTCAAAGTGTTTCACTGACTTTTACTTTCACATTCAAAGCGTTCCACTGACTTTTACTTTGGCATTCAAAGTGTTCCACTGACTTTTAATTTGGCATTCAAAGTGTTCCACTGACTTTTACTTTGGGGGCATTCAAAGCATTCCTCTGACTTTTACTTTGGCATTCAAAGTGTTTCACTGACTTTTACTTTCACATTCAAAGCGTTCCACTGACTTTTACTTTGGCATTCAAAGTGTTCCACTGACTTTTAATTTGGCATTCAAAGTGTTCCACTGACTTTTACTTTGGGGGCATTCAAAGCATTCCTCTGACTTTTACTTTGGCATTCAAAGCGTTCCACTGACTTTTACTTTCACATTCAAAGCGTTCCACTGACTTTTAATTTGGCATTCAAAGTGTTCCACTGATGTTACTTCGGTGGCATTCAAAGCGTTCCACTGACTTTTACGTTGGCATTCAAAGTGTTCCACTGACTTTTACTTTGGCATTCAAAATGTTCCACTGACTTTTACTTTGGCATTCAAAGTGTTTCACTGACTTTTACTTTGGCATTCAAAGTGTTTCACTGACTTTTACTTTGGCATTCAAAGTGTTTCACTGACTTTTACTTTGGCATTCAAAGTGTTTCACTGACTTTTACTTTGGCATTCAAAGTGTTCCACTGACTTTTACTTTGGCATTCAAAGTGTTTCACTGACTTTTACTTTGACATTCAAAGTGTTTCACTGACTTTTACTTTGGCATTCAAAGTGTTCCACTGACTTTTACTTTGGCATTCAAAGTGTTCCACTGACTTTTACTTTGGCATTCAAAGTGTTTCGCTGACTTTTAATTTGGCATTCAAAGTGTTCCACTGATGTTACTTCGGTGGCATTCAAAGCGTTCCACTGACTTTTACATTGGCATTCAAAGTGTTCCACTGACTTTTACTTTGGCATTCAAAGTGTTCCACTGACATTTACTTTGGCATTCAAAGTGTTCCACTGACTTTTACTTTGGCATTCAAAGTGTTCCACTGACTTTTACTTTGGCATTCAAAATGTTCCACTGACTTTTACTTTGGTGGCATTCAAAGTGTTTCACTGACTTTTACTTTGGCATTCAAAGTGTTTCACTGACTTTTACTTTGGCATTCAAAGTGTTTCACTGACTTTTACTTTGGCATTCAAAGTGTTTCACTGACTTTTACTTTGGCATTCAAAGTGTTTCACTGACTTTTACTTTGGCATTCAAAGTGTTTCACTGACTTTTACTTTGGCATTCAAAGTGTTCCACTGACTTTTACTTTGGCATACAAAGTGTTTCACTGACTTTTACTTTGGCATTCAAAGTGTTTCACTGACTTTTACTTTGGCATTCAAAGTGTTCAACTGACTTTTACTTTGGCATTCAAAGTGTTCCACTGACTTTTACTTTGGCATTCAAAGTGTTTCGCTGACTTTTAATTTGGCATTCAAAGTGTTCCACTGATGTTACTTCGGTGGCATTCAAAGCGTTCCACTGACTTTTACATTGGCATTCAAAGTGTTCCACTGACTTTTACTTTGGCATTCAAAGTGTTCCACTGACTTTTACTTTGGCATTCAAAGTGTTCCACTGACTTTTACTTTGGCATTCAAAGTGTTTCGCTGACTTTTAATTTGGCATTCAAAGTGTTCCACTGATGTTACTTCGGTGGCATTCAAAGCGTTCCACTGACTTTTACTTTGGCATTCAAAGTGTTCCACTGACATTTACTTTGGCATTCAAAGTGTTCCACTGACATTTACTTTGGCATTCAAAGTGTTCCACTGACATTTACTTTGGTATTCAAAGTGTTCCACTGACATTTACTTTGGTATTCAAAGTGTTCCACTGGATTTTACTTTCACATTCAAAGTGTTCCACTGACTTTTACTTTGACATTCAAAGTTTTCAACTGACTTGCAAGCTTTCAACCTTATGTCTCTCTAGTTTCTTGAAATGTTTAATTTGCCAATTTGACTTGCATTTTTGGACAAGTGGGAATTAAATTTACTAACCATTCATTTATAGATAAGGAGAATATACATGATATTGATGATGATGATATTGGCACTAGATCATCAAGAAAGCGCCCCCGCAAGGCTGCTCTTAAAGTACAAAAAACAAAAAGGAGAAGAATTATTGAAGCTGACAGTGATGAAGACAATGATGATTCAGGTTAGTAATAACAATTATACAGTTGAAGCCAATCAAAGCAGAACTCCACTCGTTTTAGTGTTTAGATGTCTTTTGCATTATGTTCAGGGCACAAACAGAACAAACTGTAAAGACTCTGGCACTTAGGCGTGACTTTAATTCTGGGAATATGTGATTTTCAAAAAAGCTATTTAAGGTAGCGGGACTATTATTTGCATACTTGTTTTCATCTTCTAATTGTGACTAAATGACTACAAATAGACCCGGGAAAGTATATATTTTTAGAATCGCCAGACTTCAAGCTTTTCACAAGTGTATTTTGCATGCCCGTATCTGCAATCCACAACGCGTTACTCAATCAAAGGTAAAAAATTACTTTTTCTGTAAAAAAAATAATTACGCATTTATGCTGGCGATAAGAAGTATTTTTTTCACTTTTCCTAGTTGTCCAATAGTCTGGTAAATTGAATGTGTCTGGTTAGTTTTATTCAGCAACGCGTTTTAAAAAATAGTGTCCTGAATTTCAATTACTGTTTTAGTCGCATTGC